GTGAGTGTCGCGGGACACTCTCCAGTATAGCTCAATGGATCGCTGAGGTGCGCAAACCGTCACACCACGGTAAGGTCCAGTCTCTTCGTGACGGAAATCAGAAATCAGAAATCTGGCCTTCCTGATAAAGACCATTCGGCTTGTTCTTACCAGAAGGGTAGTATAAGGCACATACTGAAGTGTGTTACAGATGTTAAAAAAACAACTCGGCGTTTTAGGGCCGGATTGTGTCTACCGTCCCAGAAAAGGTATTTGGAACTTGCCCAACAACCTTCAATCTCTTTCAGAGTAATCTCTGCTTAGTTAAGCTGAGTTTCACTTTTGGACGGCCTACGACGATCTCACCTAATGACACGATGGTTGCACAGTTTGGCATTAGCTCAAACTCCTTTTTAAAACAATCCTGCGCTATTTCTGTTTTGAAACAGTTAAGCTAGGTGCGTCGTTAAACGGCTGTATCGTTCTAGGGATTCTGTGAAATCGTGACCGAGTGTATTGTGACCGTCACCAGAAAGAAACCTGCTTTAAATTGGCAATATGAACCGAAGCGTTTGGGGCTTCCGCTATTCGACGGGGCTAGGCTCTTTTTTGGAATCTTTTTGGAATCTGGGGTAGCTATCAGCAATAGGGATGAAATGTGTCAGTAGCGCTTTCTTCAAACTCCGGGACGTTTCTGGTCGCAAAATAAGCAGTCAATTTCTGGGTATGTAGGCGAATTTTTGTTCAGTTGGTCGAAACCTGTTGCTCATGGCAGATGAGATGTTTTGTCACCATTTCTAGCTCTAAAACTTTCCCACACAGCAAACCACATAGCGCTTAGCCTGTTCGGTAACGTTAGGACTATTGATTCATACTGCCTACCAATAATTCCCCTGATTCACGTTCCTTCTCTTGTAGGGTCAGCGACAAACGCTTCTGTTCTCAGCGACCATGCCCAAGAAAATTCAGAACTTTGCCAAATCTGCTCTAGTGAAACCGGTCACTGTCAATGTCGGTCGAGCCGGTGCCGCGAGCATGAATGTATCACAAGAAGTGGAGTACGTCAAGCACGAAGCTAAAATTCCTCACCTTCTTCAAGCGCTGCAGAAGACGCCCCCTCCTGTAAGCTATTTGGCTCCACAACTGCCGTTTTCCGATCTTGCATGCCAGTTTAGTCTGCTGTTGCTGCACAAATCAGATCACGAGTTGAAACGTCTGCGTGACGTGTTATCGGTGCACCATTGATTGGTAGAACAAATTTAAGGTAGAATCTTATCCACTGTGTCACGGATTACTGGACGAGATCACAGACAGTTTCATTCTACAAAATCCCCGATAGTATTCTATTTTTACCCTTTCGAACGCTAAAAATAGAACAGAAACCTCCGGCGAACTGTATTTGTCGTTGATGTAAGCTTCTCACATCTTCCAGCATCAGGAGCGCGAGGGTTTTCCATGGTAAGCTAATCGCAATGAGAATAATCCCATTCGTAGTTTATCTAGGAGTATGATGATTTCAAATCAGGTCAGACACGGAGGCATCAAGTATTTTCTCTCAAGCGGTCCATGTGTTAGCTAACCTTTCAAGGTGAACTTCAGACTTTCAAGGGTTTCCGTTGTGTCTGTCACTGATTAGCCACATTTTCTCATCAAGATCACTTCTTCCAAAAGCGTACTTACAGCGGCTTCGCTTTTATGCCGTACATACTACTCATTTTGCTGAATTTCGATATAATTAGGTGTCTCAAGGGATGCTACTTGCATAGAAGCAAACACAATAAGCGCTGAAAAATACGAAGGTCAGCGTATCGTGAACACCCTACTCCTGTCGGCTGAAGGCGTTTTTGTGATCCCATTTTCCTCAGGTGTTGAATTAGCTACAGGACAAACTTGAATACCCTCAACTGGATCTCAGTGTAATATGTGCATTCCTAGTCAATCTCCACCTAATTATTGACTTTCTGGCAACCGCGGACTATCTTACATATTTATGCTAGTTATACTGGTTTCTTGAAGCCGACCTTCACTACATTATTGCATTTCTCCCATTTCCGTCATCCAGGTCATTATATTCGCTGAAAGAAAGCAGGATGTGGATGCCATCCACGAATATCTTCTTCTCAAGGGCGTCGAAGCGGTTAGTATTCATGGCGGTAAAGACCAAGAAGATCGTGTGGCTGCTGTCACAGAATTTCGTGCCAAGCATCGCGACGTTCTGGTCGCTACGGACGTCGCTAGCAAAGGGTTGGACTTTCCTTACATCAATCACGTGATAAACTATGATATGCCGGAGGATATTGAGAACTACGGTAGGCTTGGCCTATTTTCTCTCTCGTTTTTATGCTCTACCTACCACTTAATGGATAAGTGTTCTGGAGGCAGGGTCTAGTCTCTTTCAAGGTGCACATCGATCTTTTTTGAAAGTCATCCTTTCTGTTCAACCTGCGCTCAGTTTCTCTCTTCCACTGCTATTCTCACCAAGCCTATACACATAAACTACTTAGTTCACCTTGTGTGATTGACCTCTGAGTGTATAACAGCGTTCCGCTTAAACCAGTAAATCACATCTCTTGCAACGCCTCTAATCAAAGCTGGTTAATCTGGGGCGAGATGACCTAACTGGTAAGAGCGCGAATTTACTGACCGGAAGGTCCGTGGTTCGAATCCGACCTCCACCTCTCGACTTCCCCTGTCTAGGCTTGGGCAACCTGGCAGTATCCCAGCCCTCGTGCTTCCTTCGGGTAGCATGGCAGCTAGGCACTGGAAGGGTGCTGCAGCTGAACGCTTGTCTGGAAACCAACGTGTTTGCACGCGTTTGTGAGTGGCATGGGTAGTAAGTTCGGAAGTCGTCCCCAAAACTATCACTAATGTGGCAGACACATACTTGGTAAGCATTTTTGAATCTTTTAGTTGACCGTTTCGGTAAATCCACCCGAGGTTTCTTTTGGCAGTATTCTTTCCGCAGAACGGCAATAATGTATTTCTTTGTCGTTTTAATAAGTTCGTTAGTTGAATTGGGAGAAATAAATAAATATCACTCTGGAGCAGTAGTTCACAAAGTTTTCATCTCAGGCCAACTTAGCTTCCTACTTTAGTACCATCGACTCCGTCGCTTTTTATACACTAAAACGAGAACAGTCTAATCGAAATACATTGGGTCCTGAAAAAACGAACGAAATACCTTTAGGAGAGAAGCCACTATATGTGATTGTGCAAAAATTCCCACCCAGCCCTAGTTTACTTGTGATCGCTTCGTTTCATCACTGTTCGAGACTATTAACCCCACATCACAGTTTTATAATGAGAAGGGATGAAAACTTACACTCCTAATGTTCGACATGGTAGTGATGACGTTTTCTTCTGTTTGATAGACCTGATGTCTCTTTTAGTGATTCTGAATTCCCGAGGTTTCAGAATATAAAGCCACATGCGTGAAATCATCCAGAAATTAGCGCGCTGGACTTACTAGGTTAAGGGCTAAGTGGGAACTTGTTCACCATTGTCGAGTGGTACGCAGAGTGAGGGGATGATAACGAATCGGTAGATGTAGTGGGGTGAGGTTGTTCTATGATGGGAAGGTCAAGCGAACAGCGTTCAGCGCACCACAAGTCGGATAAGCTGTAGTCGACCGGTTTCCATTCTATTTGAACACGCCACAACCTTAAAGACCGTATCGATACTTAACCATGGCAAACAACTTTCGTATTCAGCATTAGTTACGAGGTCATGGTCACATACACGAAAACCCTTGCCACCGAACAGTGATAATAGAATAAGTCTCCTTATACGAACTCACAGAGTCACTGCACCAGATAAAGATGTATGTGGATGTATGCAGGATGATGCAATATTGGTCCTGTATGGTGCGACAGGATAACTAGAATGATCGTTTTGCTAAATGGTACGAAAATGCGCTAGTCAAATACAAATAAGAGCATTTTCCTCCTACCTTACTACTGTTTCTTCTTGTCTGGCCTCGCTCTCGTCCTTGCCTTCATACAACCCTCTTTCGTCTCCCTATTGAGAGGCGCTGCTTTGGAATTGATCGTTGACCCGCTCTCTTAGCTGGGAAACAGTGTCGCACCGCCACTGCACTACCTACGCACTGATGGTGTCACCTCTCTTGGTGACGAAACGTTTGCGACCAAATTTCCCTACTCAGCAAACGAACCAACGGTGGTTTGTGCAACCAGAGCAATCAATATTTTCCCCCGAATGTTTTGGTGATTTAGGCTGGAATCTCCTTACCGTTCATTCCATATAACTGCTCGTAGAGCTTCTAGTATTATTCTCTTGGGTTCAAAATACAGCCTTGTGAATGGTGGTCTGCTTAGATAGTTCCGCACAGTTATTCGTCATCAAATTGCTTCCATGTTCCAGTTTTCAATAACTTCTGTAGGATGTTTTGTCTCTTGAAGTTTATGCAACTTATCTCTTCTTGTGCTCAGTCTCTGAACCTTAATGTGTTTTTTGGCGTGCAGTTCATCGCATTGGACGTACCGGTCGTGGACACAAACGGGGATTGGCTACCACGTTTATCAACAAATCGGTAGACGAATCAACTTTGTTGGATTTGAAACACTTGCTCATCGAAGCGAACCAGCGTGTTCCTGATTTCTTGGTCGAGTTGGTCTCCGCCACAGAGCACGAACTAGAGATGGGTGGCGAGGTCGGTTGTGCATATTGTGGTGGTTTGGGACATCGTATCACGCACTGTCCCAAGTTGGAAGCCATGCAGAACAAAGCTGCCAGAAGCCTGGGTCGGAAAGACTTCCTTCCTTCTGCAGATTATTGATCGGATCATCATCAAACGCCTGTACATTTGTCCTCCATTGGTTTTGATTTTCAGTCCCCACCCCCAATCCTTGAACATTTGTAAATACTTTGGTTTCGTACAAGTTTCTAACTGTGACTTGATAAGCTTTGTATATAGTTGTGGTACACCCTAGCCTTGAACCCATCAGGATTGTCATCAGTCAACAACTTTCCACTTCCGTCGATAACTTAGTTTTTCTAAGAACTTGGCATTCTAAAGCAGCATTCTCCAGCGTAGTCGGTATGTGCAGTTGAAGATGCGCGGCATGATGCTACTCACCTTAGTCACGCAGATATAAGACATTGATGAAAGGTTTTGACGGCCCTATGCATTCATTAATCATGAGCGATCGTTGTAGCAGCTGACTGACCGGTGGGTTCGTCGTTTGAGTCCAACCCTCAATATACCCACATCTGTCTAGTCTCTGGCCACTTGGCTTTATCCTAGCCTCCATGTCTCGTTCGCGTTACTCATTATCAATGCTCGAAATGATTGTCGTGTCTATATCGTATATCGTTCAGCTGTAACGCCCATCCGGTGCCTAGCTTCCATGCCACCCTAAGGAAGCACGAGGTCCGGCGTGCTGCCATGTTGCACAGGCCTAGACAGGGAAGTCGAGAGGCAGAGGTCGGGTTCGAACCACGGAACTTCCGATCAGTAAATTCGCGCTCTAGCCACTTGAGCCATCTGCCGTGTCTGAACGACTGTGTTTCTCCACAGTGCAGTGTCACTGTCCAGATGGTAAACTAAGCACTGTTTCGTCCGTCCTTACGGTCGGTTGTCATTCTGTTCTCCCATTTGTGACTGCTACGGTTTCCGTTGTTGGGAGGCTGGTGATAAGTCATAACTTTCCGTATTCTTATTATGAAAAGGCTCGGATCCAAGGAGATTCCAATTGCATTGGAAAAATTTTCAAGTTGGAAGAGATTAAAGCCTCTGTCGAAGGGTGGCTCACTCATACGGTATTGCCTGGATTCAACAGCAAATTTAAGGACATGGATCAGACGTGAATGAAACCAATCCTAACCAATCCTGAACGCAATGCAGTCGCAATTGTTTAAGCTTTCAAGGAGTTGGTCGTCCTTCACAGGCAAATGGTGGGAATTCATTTTTCCACTCAGCTGTGTAGTTGTGGACGACAGCTTTACCTTAGAACGGGAAGTGTGGCTCGGATGCAACGGTGCACAACATATCACTAAAAGGCGGGCCAGCCATTCCACCCTGATGGAGACTGCTGTACCGCTGGTACATCCAAACCACACCGTAAGTGGACCTTCATCTGTAAGTCTTTCGGTGTGGTCACCAGCTACTTGGAGGACTAGTCTCTTCATTATGCTTATGAAATTAATATAAAGATGTGAGTGTGATGGGAGTGATTCCAAACTACTTGCTATAAGCTAGTAGCACAACGCAACACGCTTTTGTCAATCGAAGTCCCACCTATGCGGTACTCTTGGCGGCACTTTCTTACGATGTAGGTGAGTTCGTATAGAAATTAGGGTTTGCTATTCCGATTCTTAAGTCAGAACACAGGGAGGAATGTGCCCCCAGTAGCATCCAACTGTAGATTTAAGCCTGTCAATGAATCCGAGTTTGCTGTAAGCCTGATTCAGGCTTTCAAGGCCTTAGTTGTTAGTTAGTCTAATTTGCCCTGGATGTTTCTTGCGGATCAGCGTGCACACGTCATATGCTTGTTCTGGGGTAGCTACTACTTCGTGTTCATCGCTGTCCTACCCGTCGTTCTGCTTTTATTTGTAAACCACATTGAATGGACAGACACACTGAGATTCAAGCACATATTCTGTTCTTTACTGCCTACTTGTCAATAAAATTTACCGAGGGAAAGATATGGACTTTTGTTTATTCTTCCTTTCTGAAGTATTTCCAGAGATGACCGCTATTTATCCAGGACACAGGGACGTACATATAAGCTGAAAGGGTAACCAGAGCGGTAAATAGTGGGGAATTGTCGGAAAGAAAATGGTGAACAAATTACTTGAATATTAATTTCAAAGGTTCGACCCCGAAAAATGACGGTGGGGTCAGCAAATGAACGACACAAGGGACCACAATGTTGCCATATACGGATGCTCTTGCTTATTGGAATTGAGGACAGAAACTAACTAAATGTAACGGGTGAGAAGCCTTATCAAGTATTACCGTAAGAAGGCCTGTACAGGCATTCGTATGTATATCAGTTAAGGTATCTACCGGGGAAGTCACCGAAAGCTGAAGAAGTGCACCGTCTTCAGCTATCCGCTTAAGTTGACGGCCGAACAACATGAAGTAACCGGCAAGGTTGTGTCAAGTGTGAAATTCCGCATAACTTAATTGGTAATATTTATGAATGGAGTCGGGTTCGACGAGCGCAGCAAATGACCATCAATAAAATACACTCGGGTCAGCAATTTGTTTGCTAAGNACCATCAATAAAATACACTCGGTTCAGCAACTTGTTTGCTAAGGGGCTGAAATAAAAACCGTGGAACGAGTTCCGAATGGTGGACGCGAAGAGGCGAAAGTCAGTTGTTGTGCAATCGCTCAACACCCTGGGATACTAAATCTTGCACTTAGGGAAACGTAAGTCTTATATGGGACGAGGATAACGTCGTTAAATGGCGTCAGTAGTCACGTATTTGTTCTCCCAAGCCCTTTTGTATGCAACAAATAGGATGATCCGGCTGGTTTCACTCCGCAATGGCCGATAGCAAATGACAGTGCCATTACCTCCGTGATTATGTGTATGAGCTGAGATGCTGTTGGGGCATTACAACTTGACGAACATGGTCCTCAGTGAAGTCCTCTGGCCCACAATCCCGACGGTAATGTAATGCTGGGAGATCCAATAAAGGGATAAGATCTCAAAGGAGCTGGAGACCCCTGTCCTTTGACCGACATGGCTAAACAGTTCTAGCAGACGTTTCATAGCATTCTCCGGTATGCAAACTGTCTCATCACAAGTCCCATTAGTTTCGAAACCAATGCAAAGTAACCAAAACAGGAGTCACAACTCGACCAGTCAAATTCACCCTCTTTTTACACCCAGAAAGCAATGTTAAAAGCAGTTGAAACAGGGTCGTTTTGTCCCCTATAGCAAAGCTTCAGAATTCGAACCAAAGAACCATCTTCCACTACGAAATCGGTAAAACTTCAAATTAGGAAGGTAAATTATACTCTCATTAGAAGATAGCGTCAAAAGTCCCTATCTCAAATGTTTTTCATTCGAGACCCGAACACTGTTTCTTATGGTGCCATGTGAGTTGTTGGTTGGCAGAAATTTCCGATGGTTTCTTCTGTAGAACTCATATTTCAGCGGGAATATTGCTTTGCTATACCCGAAGGTCGTTCTCTCGGATGAGACAAAACGGTGTGCACAGATATATTTGTAATGCACTACTCATAAGGTTGCTGAAAATTCGTTGCCTGGAAACGTCACAAACGGGGTTCAGCTGGGTTCCAGGTGAATCTCTCGAAAAACCGAATTATTTTGCAAACGAGTGTACATTCGCTGTGTACACAGGCTTTTTCGTCAGTAAAGTGTGTGGAGGAATAGCTCTTAAGATGCTTTTTTCCAGTAAAAAGTTAACATAGGTGAAATCCCCCATAACAATGTGGGAAGCAATTTTGTGCACCTACTTTCTTTTCCAAACCTTAACCAGAACTTTGTGATGGATGATAGAGGGACAAATAAATTTTGGAAGTCAAGGAAAACAGTGTAGTTGCAGTTTGTCCAAGACATCTGAGTACACTGTTAGTTTCTTGTTACTTTCAGTATGTGCTATTGGTGGACCAAAACTCAGTATACGACCTCTCAGTTAGGACTACACGAATATCTGGACGAAACTGGAATGCGCCCTGACATGTGATCGGCTCCGATCGTATTTTGCACCGTGCTCTGATGTACACTGACCATGGGTCTCCGTTCCGCTTTTCTAGCGTAGATTCAAACTCAACTAGTGGTGAGAGAAGAAATCAGTCGGGACTAGTTCTGTAGCAGTATAAACAGACATGAAGAAGAGTTACGGAATAATTGGGGTGCGGCAACCGTTTTTTTAATCCTTATCCATCCATGCCCTCTTTGTTCAACTTTTCAATGCATGGACTTCCCTAACCCATTATTCCAGTTAGCTTCGTGGTGTCAACGCTTAAGTATTTACCGTCCCACCTTTAAGTGGCAAATTGTATAAGATGCTACATCCCTCCCCCCCCCCCCCCGGATACAGATCATGCCTACCTCCAACAGGTTAGATGAAGAGGTAGTTACCACATAGCAACTGAACCACTTATGATCCCATCAACCTCATCGAGAGTCAACCGATTCTGTCTGAGGGCTCCCTGTGACTAAGATTGTACTGTTGCATTCTTGCATATTGCCTTTTTATATCGCCTATCTTTTTGTTTAAACCTCAATTTTTCGAACAGAAGGTGACATTTTGCACAGAGATACTCACCACCTCCATTGAAAATCGCCGAATCCGCCAGATTTTATGAAGGAGTGAAAGTTTTAGTTCGCATTCCGATAAACTTTATACCTCTGTTATAGGTATCTCTTACTTTTCTCAGATTCGCGCATCCTGTCTCATCCGCGAAATTCTGCGCTGACTACTCATAGGTATTCCCAGAGGTTATACAACCCAAAAAATATCTATTCAAACAACTGGGATGTTCGTAAGGTGGGCTAAAGCTATTTACAAGCAACCAGTTTCTTACACTGATGGCCTCAATGTGCATCGTTTTTCACACGAAATCTAATTTATAACAGAGGCTGTGCCGAGCCACATTAGCGAAACCAACTCAGGCTTTCTCTATCTGATGTTAGAAAGATCAAGAATAAACAACGCAGCCGCAAAACTCATAGCCTCCTTTTGAAAGGCGTGTTGAACACGTACAAACAGTGTAAATCGAAGATTCTCTGTGGAATTAAATATGGGTCTGATATCGGACGTCATCACTTGATGGGCATGTTGCAGATTGGTTCA